CCCGCCTCGGCGCACCAGTGCGACTGCCGCCAGCTGCTCCAGCTGAGGACGACGGGCAGCACGGGCTCCGCCCCGCGCACCAGCCGCTCCAGACGGCGGTAGCAGAGTACCTCGAAGAGGGCGTACTCGCCGCGGTCCGCCTCTTTCAGGTCAGACTAAAGAGAGAAAAATGATCAGATCAAATTATGCCAAAAAGAAGATCATCACCTTCTCGAGGACCATGTCCAGGACGTCCGCCGCCGTCGTCTCCTTGTTCAGGTGCACATTGACCACTTTGCTTTTACCACCACCACCTCCTCCTCCTCCCCCTAAAACACCGCCATCATCGAGGTTGACCTTGATGGCGATGATCAGCGAGCTGACCTGCTTCGTATCAATCACAGTCAACGGTAGCCCTCCACCAGCACTCAGCGAAGAGGAAGGCATCACCACCGTCTTGGGAAGCACCGGTTTGCTGATGTTCGTTGGGTAGCTTGAAGAAGAGGAATTCTGAAAACCACTTTCAGCCATGCCGGCCATCATCATCTGCTGCTGCTGCGCCTGCAGACACTCCTCCGTCCGCTGGTTGATGATCAGGTGCACTACCCGCTTGATGTGCATCTCCCGGTCCACCTCCTCCTTCGTCACCTCAAAGAGGTACAGGTGGTGCTTGATGAAGGCGGTGATCAGCGTCCGGGCGGAGGAGAGGGACACCGGGGCTTTAGCGCTGGTAGGCGTAGTCTTTTGCTGCTGCTGTCCCTTGCTAAAGACGAGCGCCTTGCAGAGCGACGTCGACAACGGGTACTGCATGTTCACACTGCAAGAAGGAAGGAAAGAAGAAGGTATTTAGAAATTAGAAAACTCCCAGCAAAACCTCGATCACTTACTTTGCCAGACAGAGGATCACCCTCCTCAGCGTGGCGTAGTGAATCGGCGGCAGCGCCTGCAGCCGACTCTTCACCGCCTCGAGGACGTCCACGTGTTCATCATCTTCCACTCCTGTCACTTCCGGTTCCTCATCACCCTCGTCACCCCCCTCATCCTCCTTTTCGACCTTCTCCAACTTCTCAGCCAGCTTCATCCAGGCGGGCAGCATCACCTCGGTGAGGATGCACTGGGCCAGGGAGCGGAGGTAGAGAAGAAGAAGCAGACTGACCTGCTGGGCGCTGTGCACTGCCGGCAGCAGGTGGACGGCCCAGGCATTGGCTCGAAGCTCCCCAAGAAGTCGAGTACTGTTGGCCAGCACCAGCGGGTGCACCTGTTCGATGTTCGCAAAGAGGGGCGGCGCCTTGAAGAGTGTGCTCTTCGCCGCCACGGTACTATAGGTGTCGAGGAACTTGAGGCACTTGTCCACGGCGACGGGAATGTTCTCCCGCGTCAGGTACTGCTCCTCGAAGGTGCACCGGGCCGGGTCCTCCGGCGAGGGCCAGAACTTGAGCACGGCGCGGTACCAGCGGGCACTGAAACAAAAGGGAAAAAGAAGTTAAAAATCTAAAAAAATCAAAAGATTTTTTACCTGTGCTCCGGATGGTCGGCCACCAGGTACACCACCCGTCCTCCATTCTGCGTCACACTGAAGCCGTACTTGCACTCGTTGACGTTCTCGTAAATCGCTCCCGAAGTCGATGATGATGGCTGCTGGGGCTGCAGCACCGCCCCGCCCGCCTCATCCAGCCGTCCAATCCGCACCGTCTTCCGCAGGTTGTACGCCTGATAGGTGCGGCAGTGCACCGCCCTCACCGGCGACCCCGCCTCCACCTCAAAGACGTAGAGGAAGCGGTCGGCGGTCAGAAGGGCAAAAGCGGACGCCCACCGCCCGCTGCTGACGGTGAACTTGGCTCGAAGAAAGCCAAACGCGTACAGTTCCTTGTTCTTGAAGGCGTGCAGACAGAGCGCCTGCACAAAAGCGTGCAGCCACAGCTGCCGGTCCGCCGGCGCCCGGGCGGCCAGCAGAAAGACACGCCCACCTCGGCAGCGGACGCCAATCTCGAGGAAGACCACCGAGGAGCTTCCTTTTTCACCATTCCTCTTTTCCACAGCTGAGGCGGCATCAACCGACCGCTCCCGCCCCTTCTCAAACTTGGGCAGCCTCGTCTTGGCGGGCGCCGCCTCGCACACGCCCACGTACTCCATCTCGCTGACCATGATCTTCCCGGAGAGGGAGGCGCTGATGGAGGAGCGGTTGAAGTAGTAGCTGAAGCTGGCATCGGCCAGGTCGAGGTTCTGCCGGTGGAGGATGCACCACCGGTACTTGAAGGACTTGAAGTTCGGACCGGTCTTCCAGAGGTAGCCGCTCCGCTGCAGGGAGAGCTTCGTCGTGTGCAGGTGCTCCATCGCCAGCACCTCAGAGTTGAGGAGGAGGGGTGTGAGGGGAGTGGCTGGAGGTTGAGGAGGTTTCGGGGCAGGAGTGATATTTTGGTCATTGGAAGAGGTGTTATTGTGATTTGAAGAGGATGATGAAGAGGAGGTTTGCTCGTTTATGGAGGTTTCCTGAAGATTATTCTGTAGTGGTAGTGGTGAATCCTTTTCAGCTTTCTCCTTCTCCTGCCTCTGAAGCTTAGGTATTGGCGGCGGTGGCTTGCTGGGAATCGTCGACGTGGAATAGTTGGAAGGAACNTCCTGAAGATTATTCTGTGGTGGTGGTGGTGGTGGTGGTGATTCCTCTTCAGCTTTCTCCTGTCTCTGAAGCTTAGGTATCGGCGGCGGTGGCTTGCTGGGAATCGTCGACGTGGAATAGTTGGAAGGAACTGGCGAGGGTGCTATCAGCGAGGGAGGCGCCAGATTCTCGATCGCCTTGGGCTCCTTCTGGTACTGAGGGTGATTCTTTCGAGGTGGCAGCTGTGGCGGCGGTGGTGACGGCGGAATTGAGGTTGCAGACTTTTGTTGTTTTCCACCCTTCTCTACTTTTGATTCAGAAGAGGTGATTTCGTTATTTACTTCTGAAACGGTTGAAACCTCATTGTCGCCCGAAGAGAAGACGCCCGAGTCGGTGTTGTGCTTTGTGGGCGTCGGCTTACTATCACCATTATCTGCTAGTTCCCTGCCGGAAAACTCCTCCGGACTTAGCACACTGACCGGCGACGGGAGCATATCAGAGCCTGAGGAGAAGGAAAACTTGAAGAGCTCCTTCTGCACCTGAATTCGCTTTCGACGGAAGGTGCCCACGGCAAGAGAGGGCTGAGACTGTGCTGGGGTTGAAGCTTTAGTTTCATTTTCCTCCTTTTCCTCCTCCTCCTCCTCCTCCGGACCGGAACTGGCCAGCGACTCCGCCAGCGTCTCAATCTCATTGATCAGCGCCGTCATCTTCGCCGGCAGCTCCTGCTCAAAGTAGAGAAAACTGTGCACGCTGTCGCTGGCGGTCAGGTCCAGTCGACGTTGACGCAACTGCTGCTGCTGCTGTTGCTCGTCGATGCAGTTTTCAATTGAAGAGGCGGAGGAAGAGGTGTTCGAAGAGGAGGAGGCGGTGGAAGAGTTGGAGGTCTCCGGTTTGAGGTTGAGGTGAGGGCTTTTAGGGCTGGGCAGGACGCCGACTGAAGAGGTGTTGGCCAGCGATTTGCGCGGCTTGGGAACGGGAAATGATGGCGGTGGTGGTGACGGGGATTTTACTGTCCTCTTTTGCTGATCGGGTTCTTGAGCTGATGATGATGATGATGATGGTAAGTCGGAGATAGGTTCAGCCGGTCCTCGATACTCATCGTAGATGGGATTGCTGAAAGCCAGTGATGATATTGGTGGTGGTGGTTGTGGTGGTGGTGAGGGCTTGCTCAACTGAGGTTTGGGCGCCAGGACGGGTGGTCGCCTTTGGTTTGAGTTTGGAGAGGGTGATCGCCTGCTTCGGTTCGTTGCTGCCAGCTTCTCCTGCTGCTCCGATAGCCAGAGAAGGTTCCGACTTCGGCTGCTGCTGCTGTTGAGATTCGCCATCAAAATGCTGAGGTGCTTTTGTGTGCTTGGTTTGGATTTGGAGGATTCTCTCCAGTCTCTGTGTCGTCAGATTTTCATTTTCTGGCGGCAAGCCCTTTAGCAGACTTTTCTCTCTCCCTTTCTGGTTGCGCTCAGTCACCAAACTTGGCGGTCGTGACATTTTCCACACAATGCGCCCTCTCTCTCTTGCGCGCGCGGATGTTCGTGGATGTGGAAGATAAGCGGCGGCTTTCACTTCCTTTCACTTTCAACAGTGTGCTTTTGTGTCTGTCCATCAGTCTGAATCACAGAGCAGAGTAGGACACAGTTTTGGAGAAGCCAGCAAAATCAGCAGAGGCTGGCATTTCTTGCCGGCTTGAGCTGACACACTTTTCCATAGGCTTCAACTGGCAGAGGCTTTTCGCGTGAAAATCGCTTGCTCACTCTTCTTTTTTCAGTCGATTCTTGATACTTGTCACAGCCGATTTTAGAGAACTTGCACTTTTGGGTACAATGCAGACACACAGACAGACAGGCACAAGCATAGACATTGAGCTTTGATCTTTTACTTGAAAAAAACGTTAGAGCGAGTCCCTTCAAGAGAAAGAGAGCCTTTTCAACCTAGGAGAGGGAGAACAAAAAGAGGATGAGAATGAGAGAATAAGCTTAACAACAGCAGCAGCAAAAAAGAAACAGTAAGAACAGGACAGCATTTGATTGGCAATTTGGCAAAAACAACAAAAAAAGTTTGAACAAATCTAAGACAATTAAAGTAAGAAGGTGGAACTTGATGACTGTTTGTTTGGTTTCTAGGGGTCTAAAAGATGGTGGGAGAAAAGTGAGCTACTGTTATGTGGGCATCAGATCACTGTCGTCCGTGTACGTCTCCTCCTCCGAGGAGTCCTCGTCGTAGTCGACATTGGAGGGAACGAGGTGGCCGACGGGAGGGGCACTCCCGGCGGCAACCATTCCTCCACCAAGTCCACCAACTCCAGCCTCTCCAACTTCAGGCTGAGATTGTTGACCACTACCACCCAACCCAGCCATCGCCAGCATCTGCTTCATATCTGAGTCGGTGAGCTGACCGAGCAGTGAGTTGATGGTCGACTGGCTGATGCCACCACCACCTCCACCACCTCCTCCAGAAAGAGCTGAAGATAATAAAGTGTTCAACGATGATGATGATGATGAGGCGGATGGTGAGGCAGCAAGAGGAGCTGCTGCTGCTGCTGCGGAAACGGGCGAAGCTGGGGCAGTGTTCCCACCACCGCCACCACCACCACCTGAAAGCTGCTGGGCAATGCCGGCCAGTGATGAAATGGAGGAAAGTGGCGAAGAGAGCGTCTGAGCTAGCTGCACCAGAGATAGTGGTGAAGAGGATGCTGGTGATGATGATGGCGAAGAAGCGGCAGAAGGAGCAGCAGCAGTCGAAGCTGAATTCGAACTGGAGGCAGCCGTTTTAATGCCAAAGCGGCTGCCGATGAAGGGGTCGATGATCTTGCGAGAGACCTCGCCGATCACCGAGTTCAGCAGCATGGCCATTTGGAAGCGCAATATTCGAGGGGCAAAGTACGCCATCAACAGTCGACGGACCGGGTAGGTCATGAGGAAGCGACGTTCGGGCAGATCGTAGCTGGGGCTGATGTTGCGGGAATCGAGAGTGGTAGTCGTGGAGGTGGACTTTGAAGAAGGTGTTGTAGAAGAGGAGGAAGAAGTAGAAGAATAGGCAGATCGACCGCTGCTGTTGATGCTGGCCATCGTGGCAACTGGCGTCCGCTGAGTGGTTGGCCTAGTTGTGGTGGTGGTGGTAGTTGTGGTCGAGGAAGTGGTGATAACTGCCGGACGAATTCGGTACTCAAAAGTTCCGTCATTTCGAAGGTTCCGAAGAGAAAATGAATCTTTGAGATTGTTGTTGTTCTGCTGCTTTCCAAAGTTAAAGGCGTGTTTTTCAGGCCGCCGGTCGTCCTCTACGGACGCCGCCAGGTAGATTGGCGCTTGCGCAGTTTCGCTAAACAGGTTCTCGCTGGATTCTTCAGGTGAATCCACAAAATTGGTCATGAGATCATCATTTGCTTCAAGAGTTGAAAAGCTGCTGTTATCCGGTTTGGGCATCAGCAGGTTAAAGTCAATCGGAAGGTAGATCTCATTGCTGTTCGGCGATCGAGGCACGGCCAACTCAAGATCGGATTCTGCAGTTTCATGATCCTCGTCTTTCTCAACAGCAGCTCGACTTGCCACCACCAACTGCTGGAACTTTCTGCTCAGCCAGGACTTTAGATCATCGCCCTTGTTCGAAGGCTCCTCTTCCTGGTCCTTCACCTTATCATAGGAGAGGAGGACATTGCTGAAGAGGTTCGGTGACGATTGCCCACTGTCCCAATCTTCGAGCTCACTGCTTCTAGTCCTGCTTCTGGTCGACGATGAAGATGACGACGACCTCCGAGAAGGTCTGCTCCTTTCAAGATGATGTGGAAGAGCATCGG